CAGATGTCTCTGCTCGTCTCCCTTCCAGCCTTCCCCTCTCATGGCATCCTGCAGGCTCTCCTCTCCTGCAGGACTCCTGCACAAGCTCCTCTGAGCAGCAGGCTATGTGCCCAGGAGCCAAGCAGTTCCCAGTGCTCAGAGGCCCCAGAGCAGCTTAGCCTTTCCCCTCACAAGCCCCTCAATGTGCAGCAGCAGCCTCAGGCACAGATGAAGTTTTCAAAAGCAGCAGCAGCTCAGAGGTCTCTGGGTCGCAGAGCGCCTGTCCTGGGGCCGGGGCTGTTCTTCTCTACAGTCTCACAGCAGCATCCCACACCCCACCACCTCCGCCGGTCCCCACTGTGAGCAGGGCAGCCGGGCTCCATTGGCTGCTCGTCATCCCAGGGGCCAGGGGAGGGCAGCAGCCGAAAAGGCGAGAGCAGCAGAAAAGGCGAGAGCAGGGACCGGTCCGGAGGGCTGCGGGCATCTGTAGGCAGCTCCCACTCCTAGGGCAGCTCGTACCGAGATCTGAATCGTTTCCACAGGCGATGAGACGTGACGCCAGTCACAATCAGTCCCAACAACGAGACCGTTGTCCCCACAGTGATGGCAGAGCCCGCGCTGAATGAATCTGCAAAGACATGAGAAGGACTTGTAATCACAGGCAGACTCTGCCCACGCCAGCAAATACTGAGGGGTGAGCATAACACCCCCAGCACTGAATGTGGCACTAACACGACTCACTGCAGCGCAAGCCCAAGTGATGGGAGGGTACAGGAGAGGGGGCTGCAGACCACCACTCACCATCCAAGACCATCAGCTGCAGACTGACCACCTGGGAGCGATGGCCGAGCAGGGTGCACTGGTAGTGGCCCTGGTGCTGGGGCTCAGCATGGTCCAGATGCAGCGTGGAGCTGCTGCCCGCTGCCTCCTCCTGATACTGCGAGAGGGCCACGGGGGTCCGCAGCCAGCCAACAGTGGCATTGCCGGTACACAGCGCACGGCACTTGATGCGCAGGGCCCTGCCTCGTGTCCCGTTGGGAGGCAGTGACCAGATCCGCAGGCTGCAGGCAGGCACTGTCCCCACAGCTGGCTCTGTCTCCTTCGCTGCCAGGGGAGAGCCCCACCTGATGCTGTCCACAGCCGTCCCCTGCGCCTCAGCCTGGGGGTTTGCAGTGCTGGACCCAGGGAGCGTGGTGGTGGCCGGACGTGTCATGGGACTGCCTGTGACAAGGTCCCGGGGAGAAGGGTGCTCTGTGGAGGAGGGCTTGGTGGCAGTAGCTGGCTTCAGGATGGTCTCAGCGTCAGGCTCCCATGGTGTGGTGGTCAGAGCTGTTGGATCCTGCGTGGGGACACTCGGCTCTGGGGGCAGCACTTTGGTGGTCACAGGCTCGGTTGTGCTGGGGGTCGCTGTGATAGGCGCCACTGTCTGGGGGGGGCTCCCCGTGGAGGTGGCCAT